TAAACCCCTAAACCCTAAACTGTTAGGCTATGGCACCGAACTTTGGATACTGTTCAACACCTGCTATACAAACCCTTTCGACTCCCACAAGAAGCTGTAGACACTGAAAAACCGACAAAAAGGCCTTCTAAAGCTCAGAGGCCCTAAACCCTAAACCCCAAAAACCTTCAAACTGCTGCGTCCTGAGGCCATGAGAAGTTCCCCCGGGAGAGGCGTGCGCCTGGCCGGCCCGACGCCGCCTTTCTTGCACGCACAGAGGTTTGGGGTTTAGGGCTTACGGTTTAGGGATTTAGGGATTTAGGGATGAGGGTTTAGGGTGTAGGGTTTAGGGTTTAGGGTTTAGGTCATGCGGTTTAGGGATTTGGGGTTTAGGGTTTAGGGTTTAGGGCTTACGGTTTAGGGATTTGGGGTTTAGGGTTTAGAGCTCAAGGCTTATGTTTCGGGCTCAGGTTGGGCACTGCGGCCCATACCGTAACAGCAAAGGTGCTATTCACGGCCTCACATATCTACAGCACCCTTTAACTTCAGCCCAGGGATGGGAACCCTTCAACAGATGAGCCTTTTTTTTCGACTAGGTTCCTGAGTACTCCCCAAACCCTAAATCCCTAAACCCTAAACCCTAAACCTTAAGTCCCTAAGCCCTAAATCCATAAACCCTAACCTTAAAAAGGTACCCTGCTTCCTACTGTTTGGCTTTGATGAGGGAGCCCTAAAGGCAAACCGAAACCTCAGGGTGCCTTAAACTCGTCATTTCTTTTCGGATTTAGGGGTTTAGGGTTTAGGGTTTAGGGTTAAATGCAACTTGGGCTTCGTTTGCGGGTTTTGGGTGTCGGTTTAAGGGTCAACTTGCGGGACGTTTTTGGGTCACCTGTCTGGGATTCACATCGGTTTCCCAAACACCACCGAGTCCACCCCACAAATACAGCTCCGGATTGCATCGAATCTCCTGTGCAACAGTACGTAAGACACCCCAAACCCTAAACCCTAAACTGGAACAGTGCCCCAGGATGAAAAATTCCAAGCGCCCCGACGGCACTTCGGCGCTTCGACAGCGGGGCGCTGGCGAAGCTGCCCAGCCTAAGGGGCTGGCTCTTTTGGGGGGGCTCTTTTGGGTTTTTGGGGTGCGGATTTTTGCTTGGATTTTGCGTGTTCTTCAGGTTTTGAAGCTGATTTGGTTCAGGGCTTCCGAGTTTCCGGCTGCTTCATAATGTAATGAAACGACAGGCCAGGACCTCACCTCGTGCTGCACAGGCGTCTCCTGACAAATCCGAGTCCGCGACGTGCTCAGATATTGCTGTAGGCGCCTTAATGATTAGAATAGGATGTTGGGGGCTCCTTCTTATCATTATAGTATAACATACCCCAAACCCCATTCTAGTTATTAAGGCCCCTATATGGGTAGTTGTCAAAATTATGGTCCCTTTTGGGGTACCCTAAATAATAGGTGCCGACTATAATAAGGACCCAAAAAGGGACCATCATTTTGACAACCACCCATATGAAGCTCCACCCTCCGACGAGAACACGCTCGGACTCTGAATCAAGCGGGTTCTGGGTTTAGGGTTTAGGGCTTAGGCATTCAGCTCAAGCTTCTGCATGCCGGGGTCCCATCACCGTCCCATCTAGGGTTTAGGGTTTAGGGTTTAGGGTCTAGGGTTTAGTTCTCCTTGGCATTGCTGCTAAGGACCTTGTCTCGCAGTGCTCCCAGATTGGCCAGTAATGAATCGGCCACAAAGGGCCGTAGGAAACAAAGTCTTCTGCCACTGTTCCCCGCCGCGTTCAGCTCAAGAGAACCTGCCCGGAAAAAGCGCAGCGAGTGAACATGCTGCACATGGGTAGTTGTCAAAATTATGGTCCCTTTTGGGGTACCCTAAATAATAGGTGCCGTATTATAATGAGGACCCCCAAAGGGACCATAATTTTGACAACCACCCACATAGGTCACGAAGTCGGAAGGCTTCTCAGTGGAGGTGGCCTCTTGTCCCCTAAATCCCTAAATCCCTAAACCCTAAACCCTAAACCCTAAACCCGCATGTTCTTGCTTGGTCGCCACTCTTCTGCTATGGCCTCGAGGTCAGAGCTGCCTGGCACGGATATCCTGCGGACAAGCCACTAGCAAGTGCTAGTGCTCGGATAGGTGCCGTGTTTTAGGACTTAGGGTTTAGGGTTTAGCGTTTAGGGTGGGGTCAAAGGTCTCAGTGGGCCCCTCACTGAGTCTAAGGAGCAGGGTTGGGGGTTTGGGGTTCAGGAACCCCAAAACCCAAAACCCGAAACCCCTAAACCC